ACCTCTTACCTTCCACCTCGAGGTGAGCCGCCGTGTGGGACCTCTTACCTTCCACCCCAAGGTAAGCCGCTGTGTGGGACCTCTTATCCTCCACCCCGAGGTAAGCCGCCATGTGGGACCTCTTACCTTCCACCTTGAGGAAAGCCGCCGTGTGGGACCTCTTACCTTCCACCTTGAGGAAAGCCGCCGTGTGGGACCTCTTACCTTCCACCCCAAGGTAGGCCGCTGTGTGGGACCTCTTATCTTCCACCCCAAGGTAAGCCGCGGTGTGGGACCCCTTAGCTTCCACCCCGAGGTAAGCCGCCGTGTGGGACCTCTTACCTTCCACCCCGAGGTAAGCCGCCGTGTGGGACCTCTTACCTTCCACCCCAAGGTAAGCCGCTGTGTGGGACCTCTTACCTTCCACCCCGAGGTAAGCCGCCGTGTGGGACCTCTTGCCTTCCACCCCTAGGTAAGCCACTGTGTGAGACCTCTTATTTTCCACCTCGAGGTAAGCCGCCGTGTGGGACCTCTTACCTTCCACCCCAAGGTAGGCCGCTGTGTGGGACCTCTTATCTTCCACCCCAAGGTAAGCCGCGGTGTGGGACCCCTTAGCTTCCACCCCGAGGTAAGCCGCCGTGTGGGACCTCTTACCTTCCACCCCAAGGTAAGCCGCTGTGTGGGACCTCTTACCTTCCACCCCGAGGTAAGCCACTGTGTGGGGCCTCTTATTTTCCACCCCGAGGTAAGCCGCCGTGTGGGACCTCTTACCTTCCACCCCGAGGTAAGCCGCTGTGTGCAACCACTTATTTTCCACCCCGAGGTAAGCAGCTGTGGGGACCTCTTACCTTCCACCCGAGGTGAGGCTGCTTCATTGCCAGAGACATTCCGTCGCCCCCGTGTGGGGGGGGGGGGGAGGTGACAGACTATCCACACGTCTCCCTCTCGGTCCAGACGTCGATGACTGTTGTCAGATACATGCTGATATTCGTGTGTCCATCCGATGCGGGTGCATGCACATCATAAAAGGCCGTCATAAAACTACATATTATCAGATGCGCAAGCGCAATATCAAACAACAACAAAAAAGCCCGATGTGTTTGTTCATACCTGCCGAAAAGATGGTTGAAATTCCTGATATATATATATATATATATATATATATATATATATATAAAACACTCATAAATTCATGTGAAAATTATCATTATTGTTGTTGTAGTAGTCATTGCATCGTTGTATTTAAATTACTGTTGTTATGTCCAAATTACTGTTCGTATGATGAAATGATCAGCTGGCTCAGCCCAGGTAACTAACTGGCAGAGGCGGGGTAGGTGAAGGCTAAAGACCGCCCTAGCAGGTAACGTGTTCTGGAGTAACTAGAGCGGACAGTACTCGGCTCGGCGGACCGGCACGTGGTGGACGGTACCTCCCCAGTGGACCGGCACGTGGTGGACGATACCTCCCCAGTGGACCGGCGCCGGGTCGCCCACACTCCGACCCGGCACGCGGAACACTAATTGGACGCGCACCCTCGAACGCCTGGGCAGCATCACAAGCCTGGCCTTGTCACTGTCCCCTGACGTGTGCGTCTTCTCATGCCACAGCAGCGAGTGGCTGCGCGCGACGAAGCGGCCCAGTCCGGTGTGTCTGGGTCCAATCCAGGGCTAGACAGGATCGGTGACAGGTTCAGAGATAGGCGCGCCGTGAAAATGCGCTTTGATGTGGTGACAGGGATGTGGAGAGTCTCGGTTAACCACCCTGGAGCCCCCGTCCCCCTCCATTCCTGCTCCATCTCGGCCCCGGCGAGGATTTCATTTTTTGAGGAAGGCTTGACTTCGCAATCGAAGATTGCGTGCTTCCTGAGAGGTAGGTCGTCAAATACTAGCAATGTCCGGGAAGAAGATTTGCCCGCACACTCTCCCCTTCCCCATTAACTCTAAAGCGGTGTTGACAGCGTCCCGCACATCCCGCTAGACGCTCACTGATCTCGTCATAATTCACCGCTCACGATCTCATTCAATTCAGGTAATTCAATCCCTGCCATCTTCTGCCGTGCGCAGCACCTCTCCCTGCACCCTTTTCGCGCTATGTTCTGTCTGCTTTGCTCGCCCGGCTCGTGCCGATTGTCATCTATGACGGCCTGCAGTCGCCGCGCAGGCTTGTCCGCCCGAGCGAGGGGAGTCCGCCCGAGGGAGGGGAGTCCGCCCGAGCGAGGGGAGTCTGCCCGAGGAAGGGGAGTCCGCCCGAGGGAGGGGAGTCTGCCCGAAGGAGGGGAGTCTGCCCGAAGGAGGGGAGTCTGCCCGAAGGAGGGGAGTCTGCCCGAGGGGAGTTCGCTCCCAGCTACGGCAGTCCGCCCGAGTGAGGGGAGTCCGCCCCCAGCCTCGGGAGTCTGCCCGAGGTGAGGGAGTCCACACCAGCTTCGGGAGTCCGCCAGAGTGAGGGGGGAGTCCACCCCAGCCTTGGGAGTCTGCCCGAGGGGGGAGTCCGCCCCAGCCTCGAGAGTCCGCTAGAGGGAGGGAAGACTGCCCCCAGCCTCGGGAGTCTGTCCGAGGAGGGAGTCCGCCCCCAGGTTCAAGAGTCCGCCAGAGGGAGGGAAGTCCGCCCCAGCCTCGGGAGTCCTCCCGGGGAAGGGGAGCTCGCCCCAGCCTCGGGAGTCCGCCTGAACAGTCACACAGCGACGGCCGGGGCCTGCGATGTGCCGCGCCTCTGCAGACTCCGTGACTGGAGCGGGATAGCGGCACCATTCCGCCTGCTGCGCCGAGAACGTCACGCCATCTTTCGACAGCCCCGAAAAAATCTCAGCAAATCGAGTTGGCTGGAATGTTTGTTTGCTTGATGTTTCACTTTTATTTTCGATTATGGACATGAAGCAGTACATAATATGATGAGTGGATTACATCATAGCGAAATGTAAAACGAAACAGAAAAACTGCAAGAAAATGGGGAGGGCTATCCCAAAGCTGCTAATTTATATCTTTATTTGAGGCCCGGTATTTACCTGATACTTTGAGTTCATGTTAAGAACAAAGTGAAGTATTACGACGTCTGTAGAAGCATGCAGTTCCCAGTGGTAGCAGCAAATGGAGGGCATGCATTGGTTTGTTTCAGGTTTCGCGTGCTGCGCAGGAAGCCGGTCCTGCTAAGCGTTTTCGCTGTGCCCTGGTTTATCTGCGGCCTATCGTTCTGCACCGTGGTAAGAAGCGTATTCGCTGTGCCCTGCTTTATCTCCGGGCTATCGTTCTGCACCGCGCTGAGAAGCATATTCGAGGCAAATAATTCACCCGATGTATGTAATGTCGCAGCCTCTGACGCGTTCCAGTCTCCGGCGCCATAAATTAGAGGAGGACAAAACGCTATATTTTTCCGCCACGAGAACGCCTCAGTGGATGAGAACTGAGATGGCGATCAGGCGTACAGAAACCGAACATGTGAATCATGATGCAAGCGCGCCGAAATTCCCTTATTCCGGCGAGAATCTTCGTGCCAAAACATTCAGACGCTAGGGCGTGTCGCCTAGGTTGCGCACAGTCACGGACTGACGCCCCGACTCATTGCTGTAAGTTTATGATGGCGACAGGACGGGTGTCCAAGTGGGCATCGTTCGTGTGTGTGTGCGTGTCATGTGTGTCACTGGGGCTTCACGACGCACTCAGCTGCTGAGGCTACATGGCGTCGCCTGCCTATGACAGCGGGGGTAGCTCTCACTCCTTCGAGGCATTCAACCTGAACGCAAAACGGCCCCAGGAGTCGGCGCGCCCTAAAACCCCAATCATCATCATCTTTGAGGCATCATTTGATACCATGCCGTTCGTAACATCATTCTCTCTAACGCTGCTGTCTGTCGCCAGGGCGCCATGCAATCCATTGGCCAGTTGAGCAGCTTCTGTGGCAGCTACGGCTTGATGGCGCTGCTCAGTCTGCTGCAGTGTGTGGCGGTGGGCTGGATGTACGGCGGCATGCGCTTCCAGGCCAACTGGGCCGCCATGCAGGGCTGCTGCTGCTGCCCCTACCCCCTCATCTTCTGGGCGGTCGTCACACCGCTACTTCTCTTCGTAAGTCTCGGCGCTCAGCGCTCCTCTGCGGCGGGCAGCGCTCAGCGCTCCTCCGCGGCGGGCAGCGCTTAGCGCTCATCTGCGGCGGGCAGCGCTCAGCGCTCCTCTGCGGCGGGCAGCGCTCAGTGCTCCTCTGCGGCGGGCAGCGCTCAGCGCTCCTCTGCGGCGGGCAGCGCTCAGTGCTCCTCTGCGGCGGGCAACGCTCAGCGCTCCTCTGCAGCGGGCAGCGCTCAGCGCTCCTCTGTGGCGGGCAGCGCTCAGCGCTCCTCTGTGGCGGGCAGCGCTCAGCGCTCCTCTGTGGCGGGCAGCGCTCAGCGCTCCTCTGTGGCGGGCAGCGCTCAGCGCTCCTCTGCGGCGGGCAGCCCTCAGCGCTCCTCTGCGGCGGGCAGCGCTCAGCGCTCCTCTGCGGCGGGCAGCGCTCAGTGCTCCTCTGCGGCGGGCAGCGCTCAGCGCTCTTTTGTGGCGGGCAGCGCTCAGCGCTCCTCTGCGGCGGGCAACGCTCTGGACTGGCTAGCTGCGCCACCGGGTTCCGTAAAGTGCGGTAGGTAAAGAGGCCTTGCTGTTGGACGGAGGTAGGTCGCACGGCCTGCTGTACGGTGTGTGACAGGCACTGGGTATGATATTGACCTCCAGGTCCATGTTCTGGTCCCCCTGTCCCAAACAGGCACGGGGTGTGGTATAGGAATGGGAAATAACGTAAACAGTACAAAGTGGCAAGGGAAGTGACGCAAAAGAACAGCGATTCCCAGCCTCCTTATGCAATCTGGAGGCTGCTGATGGCAGAGTAAATCCGATCAACATATTATGCCGTGCTATTGCTTTTAGACGATCACCAGCGTGGGGAACATTCTAAAATGATGATGAATGCGCAATCAGAGTCCTAAAATCGGCAGATGCATCGGCGTTGCTCCTCCAAAACCAGCAAAGAACCGAGTTGCGTTTAACACACACAGATTGAAGGCACCACACTGCAGCTTCGGCCCAAGCCCCTGCTTAAAAGTACCACGGGTCTTACACGAGTTCTACAAAACACCGACGCCGCGTTTTGCATTCCACTGTGTGCGTGTTAGCCTCGTTAGCCACATCGTTAGCGTGTTAGCCTCGTGTTAGCCGCATCGTTAGCCTCGACCTGTTGTGCGTGGTTAGCCTCGACCTGTAGCCTCGACCTGTTGTGCGATGCCAGGGAAGCTGGTAGATAGTCGTTGGAGATGACATCAGTAAGCCGTAAGATCAGCGGTGTTTCGAAGTTCGGCCTCAGGAGCTCGAGTTTTAATCCCAGCTGCTATGTACATGTGCTAAATGTCCTTGCTGCGCAAACGTGCCAAGTGCCCTTTTATGCAGCATGTGCCGATGGGTGAACGACCCTGTTCGCTTGAAATGATGCCGCCGTGTGGGCATATTTGAACCAAGCCTTGTATCACCAGACGCACGCATTCTATCGCCAGATACGTTTCCCCCTCGTGCTTCCTCCCATCAACAATAAGGGATGTTTCTGCATCGCGCAAAGATCGCGATCACTCTCCCTGTTTCCTTAAACTCTGCCTGTGATCTTTGCCCTCGTTTGTTAAGCTGATCTGCGTAGTAGTCGTCGTGAGTCTTTTACATTCACATTTCCGTCAAGTCTCCGTCCGGACCGAATTTTTGACGATGAACGTGTGTGTTTCTTGGCATGTCCTTACGGCAAGACCTCTCTTTCACAGGTGATGCTGATCGCGTGGTTCTTCACCCTTTCCACATATAACCATGACCTGATTCAACTAGCGGCTTTCATCATCACGCTGCTGGTGGTTGTCATTTCCGCGGTGATAATCTTCTGCAAGCAGCCGGGCAGCGTGCGACAGGTGCGTATGCGCGTGCGTGTGCGTGTGCGTGTGCGCGCGTGTGTGTGTGTGTGTGTGTGTGTGTGTGTGTGTGTGTGTGGTGTGTGTGTGTGTGTGCGTGCGTGCGTGCGTGCGTGCGTGCGTGCGTGCGTGCGTGCGTGCGTGCGTGCGTGCGCGTGTGTGTGTGTGTGTGTGCGTGCGTGCGTGCGTGCGTGCGTGCGTGCGTGCGTGCTTGCGTGTGTGCTTGCGTGCGTGCGTGCGTGTGTGCGTGCGTGCGTGCGTGTGCGTGTGCGTGTGCGTGTGTGACGTCTGGTGTAAGCGGCGCTACGTGTTGGGAGAGGCCCGGTATACCCTGGAGCAGGCGGGGGGAGGAAACTCTACCGGCTCCTCCAGATGTGAGCGTACACCTACAGGGGTCCATCTGGTGGGCGCCTCAGCAGGCGTTCGGTCGCAATGGTTCTCCGAATCTTACGTAATGAAATACGGGCCCGTCGTAACAGAAACGCTGCGCGGAAATATGTACGAAATAATATGAAATTGAATAAAAAGGCACTCGTGAGATATGAACGGCAAAACATATGATAATAATATATAATAAACGGCGAAAAATCTGAAATAATATAAAATATGAAATATGTAATAAAAAACTGCCGTTGCCAGGGCCTCAGATGCCGCTTTCCTGTCCTCTTTGAAACCGGGTATTTTTCATGAAACGTGGCAGATGCTTGAGCAGCAATGCGACTTTGCAACCCCTAATGAGCGACAATGCGATTTTCGCTCATTAGGGTTGCTCGTCCATGCATTTCATGGACGGCTGCGTTACGGTGGCTTTCGTCATTCATGTCGCTTTCCAGCGCATAGCTTCGATCACGACGGACTAGTGCTTTAACTTCACTGACACTTCGCGGAATAGCATAGTCTCATTGCCCCCTTCCCAACCCTGTTGCATGATCTTGTACCTGCCTGGGATACGACCACATGTCCCCATTTGTGATGAACCTCCTGCGCGTGGGAATTAACGTGCACGTAAAACCCAGCTTCACCTGTACGTACGTTGCAGTGGGGGGGGGGGGGGAGGGGGACACAAAGCTGTCCAGCGGCCTTACTCGGCCATGCTGGCCTGCGTTTCAGAAATGGCGTGCAGTCTCTTCGCCTCAAGGTCTGGCTGACCATCAGCTGAGGCCGCGCGACCGACGCTACAACAACGTCGCCCTGGGGAACGTGGGGGGCGTGTGAGACGCCAGTTGCCGGCCCAGCAGTTCATCTCTCCCGCTTCGTCCTTTCCCCGCGTGTTACGTCCCACGAGACGTCATGCGATGCGGTTCTTAACCAGCGAAGCGCCACTCATCCCTGCTTTTGTGGAGAGACATGTTGAAGCCATCGATGAGGAGGCAGTGAGTGCTTCAGCCCCGATTGCGGCGGGGATTAAGCCCAGATTGCGGCGGGGATTAAGCCCCGATTGCGGCGGGGATTAAGCCCTGATTGCGGCGGGGATTAAGCCCTGATTGCGGCGGGGATTAAGCCTGGGCCTCTCGCGTTCAAAGCGCCACTATTGCAAGGTTTTGGAACAACGCGCCAATAAAACCACGAAAATCGCCGTCTTTGAGTTATTGTCTCTCATCCTGCGACGCAGCCGTACTCTGCCGGGGTCATATACCGGCGGTTTGGCGTGGGACTCTTCCCAACGCTTTGACTGGGATAATGCGCAGCGCACACCCTTTCGCCATTGATCTGGGTTCACAAAAACCTAACTTTTTGTATGACTTTCCCATCACATGAACGGTCCAGTACGAACTATTCTACTCCATCTTGCGCCCCACATTCATCTCAAGACACTGTAGCCTGTGTAACGCGCACTGCGTCATATACGACTGTTCAGCTAAGTACAGGAACAAGGTTAAAGCGAATCAACAGACCGTCATCACGAGAGGACCGTGCCATCGCGGCGAATGTGCATTTTTTGCCACCTCGCACGATAAAACCGCCCTGCGATGGCATGGAGAGGGATGGGTGGGGGGGGGAGGGGCGGGCACAGCGAAGCGGGTAATGGGGCGCGTCATCCTGACAGGACTGGCGTCTGGACAAATTTTGACATGCACTGACATGTAAAGTACTGTGAGGCAACAACAAGCAAACACATATCATCCTTTCACGTCACTTCCGCGGGTGAACAAAAGGTGGATGTGTCATTGTTTGGGAAATGGGGTTTTTCGGTACAGAATATGTACGCGTGTGTTGGTACGTCTTATCCCGCATCACCTTCCGTTGTTTTTCTCACCGTGTTTTTCCCGTCGTGTTTTTATCGCTCCACAAATGGCCACGTAATAGCTAACGTGCGGCGTGCGTGCGTGCGTGGCGTGCTGCGTGCGTGCGTGGTGCGTGCGTGGTGCGTGCGTGGGTGTGTGGTGTGTGTGTGTGTGGTGTGTGTGTCTGTGCATGTCAGCTGGTATCAAATTGCGAGGTTCAAGGCACTTACCGCAAGGCAGTAATTTCAAAATTCAACTAAGCACACCAAAATTACAGGGGCGCCAGAAGCAAAACTCCAACAACATTTCGGAAATACGCGTAGGAGATGCTCGGCTTTTATCGCATATCACGACACGATGCGGGCGCGGAGACATCACCGGAGAATGGCTCGTGCAATGGGTTTATCAAAGCCCAGACCGGGTGGTCATCACGCCAGAGTGACAGGGACGACGGCGCCCCCAGACCAACTTCCTGTCCCGATCCGCGGGCCGGAGGTGCCCTAAACGCAGCGCGCGCCAGACGGTCGTATATTTCAAACCGGCTGGGACCGGCGGACAGCACCACACGGAGGCGGCGGCCGACCGCTACGGAGTAGGGCGGCGGGCCGGGCCGAGCCGACACCCGCCTGCCCCCGCCCCGACACCGACGCCGACACCCCACCTGCCCGACACCGGCGCCGACACCCGCCTGCCCCGACACCGACGCCGACGGCCACCGGCTGAGCTGGGGCCAGCCGGCGCCGCAGGAACAGCACGCTCTCGCAGGCGCGCCGGCGACAGCAGCGGCCGGCGCCGAACCCGACGAGCCCGGCCCCAACACTACAGAGAAAACGGCTACCAGCCAGAACAGAGGAACCAACCGAAAAACGTCAACACACTGAAACGGGTCCACTGAACACTGATGTGTCACAGAGAAGCTGGCGGAACAGCGCGGCGCAGCGTCAGGACGACACCACTCAGGCCGAACGTGTCGGAAGACTGCGGCACGCAAATCAGTGTCATGCCGCGTGGTCAGCAGCACTCGGCCGGCAAAAAGAAATACGATGCTTCCTCGGAAAATGATTATGTTTTAAACAGAACGCAGCACGACTGAAACGCCAGCGCACCGCCCAGGGAAGCACGTCTTGAGAGCAGTATTTCGCAGTACGAGCATCGCACCGGCATTTCATAGCGCCACAAAATCAGCCCACTCAAATGACTCCAAAACATCAAACCAATACATCGTTTATCATTGTTAAGTGAACAATTTGAGCTAAATCATTCCTAACCCGTTTTCATAGGCCGCACATTCGGCGAAGCAAAAGCCGAGACGCTCAAATTCGTTCGCTCTCGTTGGATTCCACAGCCCTGGCGAGCCACGAGCACAACCACAGGTTCCCGCCGCCAGGCAGAGATGGCGCGCGCAGGTGGACGTCGCGCGGCGGCGCGGCGCGGCGCCGGCCCGGGGCGAGCCAAGGTCGGTTCCACCGCTCACATGTCCATCTCGAACTGAGGATCGTCTCCATCTGAAAAAAACGCCAGAAGTCAGCGGCGCCGAGTGCAGGCCATCACGCGCACGCCCGTACCGTCACTAACACGCCCTCAAAGCGAGCTGGCACGGGCTGGAGCGCCTCCGTCTCCGACCCTCATCACACCACCAACCAGAGAGACGTAAGGATATTGAACTGTCCATAAGACATATGTTGACACTAGTACAGAAACAGGCTGGTGCGGACCTGGGCTAACGCTGGGGTCTTCCTGCGTATTCTGATTTGTCTTCTTACATGCGAGCACAAAATCTCGATGTTCGTTTGAGTACGGACAAGGCAGCTAGTTGGAACTAAGAAATCGGACAACTCTCGCTACCACAGTGAATTTCGAGTGGCATGCATCGGACCCCGGTTTATCCCCGACCACTACCTTACTCGACTCCTGGATCGACCGTCGCACATTATTCCCACGGCTTTGGTTTTCGGTTTGCTAAGTGCGCCCGCATCCGCGACGATACCATCCCGCCGCGGCACAACGCGCGTCAAGGTGGCGGCCCCCGCATCCGGCAGGTGGAAAACAAAGGCGAGGCCCCGCCCAGACATCCGGAGAAGCCTGCCGGAGCGACAACCGGACATCCGGAGAAGCCTGCTGGAGCGACACCCGGACATACGGAGAAGTCTGCTGGAGCGACATCCGGACATACGGAGAAGCCTGCTGGAGCGACAACCGGACATCCGGAGAAGCCTGCTGGAGCGACACCCGGACATACGGAGAAGTCTGCTGGAGCGACACCCGTACATACGGAGAACCCTGCTGGAGCGACACCCGGACATCCGGAGAAGCCTGCTGGAGCGACACCCGGACATACGGAGAACCCTGCTGGAGCGACACCCGGACATCCGGAGAAGCGCTGGAGCGACACCCGGACATACGGAGAACCCTGCTGGAGCGACACCCGGACATCCGGAGAAGCCTGCTGGAGCGACACCGGACATACGGAGAAGCCTGCTGGAGCGACACCCGGACATCCGAGAAGCCTGCTGGCGACACCCGGACATACGGAGAACCCTGCTGGAGCGACACCCGGACATCCGGAGAAGCCTGCTGGAGCGACACCCGGACATCCGGAGAAGCCTGCTGGAGCGGTGCGGGATCCCCAGCCTCATGACTACTCCCACGGCCGCGTTCGATCAGTAGGGACGGGTTACCAGGTTCGAAAGGTTGACTAACGAGGCCCGTCTTCGAACGGGCGACGCAGCATGGGCAACCGTTGGCAGCGGTTTTACTCGCGTGAACATGCCTACTCTGCCTGCTCTGAAGCAGAGAGCATGACGATGTAAAATCAATAAATCGAGTAAATGTGTCAATGTACGAGTCTGGTGTGAATGCACGAGTCTGATGTAAATGTGCGAGTCTAAATGTATGAGTCTGGTGTAAATGTACGAGTCTAAATGCATGAGTCTGATGTAAAGGTACGGGCCTGATACAAATATACAGATATGATGTAAATGCACAAGTCTCATGTGAATGTACGAATATGACGTAAATGCACGAGTCTGACGCAAATGTACGAGTCTAATTCAACTGTGCGAGTCTCATGTAATACATAAGCCTGGTGTAGGAACACGAACACAATCACAAATCCTGAAACGTCCTCCGATTTTACATCGATCCCAATAGTTGGGCATGTGGTTCCTTCTCCAAATACAAAGCGGCCCAGTAACCACGTCTCGAGACAAGGAGCAATGATGGAACGACAAGCAAACGACTCTGGAATTACTGATTTCGGCCGCGCCCATTGGGACTCAGTCGTGCGACTATGGATGCCTCCGTGAAATGTCATGCACCGAACAAATGTATAAATACCAAATGACTTAATAACCGAAATGTACGGGCCATTCACACATGACACACAGACAACCATTCAATCACCGGATGACAATCGATCACGCTTTTCAGAATTGGGATGACCGATGGCAACAGCCAGACACGTGGGTAACACAAACACAGTCCTCCCAACCAGGCTTCGTCACCAATAGGACCCACCGCGGGACCCGGTTATCCGTGATCCGGGTTATCCGAGATCCGTGGCTGCGGGTCATACCACAGATCCTAAACTCAGGATCGTACCAGAGATCCCCGCGCCGGATCATACCAAAGATCCTGGATTCCAGATCAGACTGAAATGCTCGAGTACGAAGCAGACCTAAGATCCACATGACACGAGCACAATCCTCGACTCCAGATCAGACCACTCCAGATCAGACCAGAGATACCCGACTCTGAAGCAGACCTAAGCTCCACTATCCGAGCAGAGATAGTCGACTCCAGATTAGACCACTCCAGATCAGACCAGAGATGCCCGACTCCGAAGCAGACCTAAGATCCACATGATCAGAGCAGAGATCCTCGACTCCAGATCAGACCACTCCAGATCACAGACCGGAGATGCCCGACTCCGAAGCAGACCTAAGATCCACATGACCCGAGCAGAGATCCTCGACTCCAGATCAGACCAGAGATTCCGACTCTGAAGCAGACCTAAGCTCCACTATCAGAGCAGAGATCCTCGACTCCAGATCGGACCACTCCAGATCAGACCAGAGATGCCCGACTCCGAGACCTAAGATCCACATGATCAGAGCAGAGATCCTCGACTCCAGATTAGACCAGAGATCCCGACTCCGAAGCAGACCTAAGATCCACATGATCAGAGCAGAGATCCTCGACTCCAGATCAGACCAGAGATCCACGGCTCCAAAGCTGACCTCGGATCCCCGAATCAGAGCCGAAATGTCGTCGTCACTGACCACAACGGCTGTGAACCTGCTGCCAGCTGGGCTGTGACTGAAGCTCAAAACGTACACTAAACTAACATGGCGCCTATGACGTGGCAGTGAAGGGCTGAACGGACCGCACGGTCCGCATCATCGTCTTTGAAGTTCCGACCATGCTGTCGGCGGCTGTCCGCACAAAGACATGCCCCGATGTGTCACCTGGCTGACACCCCAGTATGACCACATACACACACACTGAATGCACGAAGACATAGCTATGTGTTACCCTTTCCTTCCTTCCTTTCCTTTCCTTCTCTTGTGCTGCACAATGCCATTCTGGCACAACTAACCACGCCTGTGAATACGCTTCGGCAGCATTTCAGGCCGCTCTGTGACAAACAGAGCGCGCTGCTCCCCAGCCCTGATGCCAGAGCACTGCACAGGTCATCGGACATGACGGGTGCGTCACGGGGGTCCGCGTGACGGGTACGTCGCAGGGGTCAGCGCGACACGTCCCCCTCGGACAGGGCGGCCGGAACCGACCGCCCAGCTGCGCCTGACGCCCCGGTGAGGCCACGCCCGCCGCCGCCGCCGCTCGGGTCGAGCACACGTCGCCAAGGCGCGCGCCCAGCCGGGGAGGGCCGCGGGCCGCGCTGGCCCGCTGCCGCCGCACTGGATCGCTGACGGCGCGGCTTACGCCGCGCGCCGTCACGCGCCCTCCGTCTCAGACCTCCGCTCCCGACCGGCGTGCGCGGGCGGCTGCTGCGGCCGCCGCGCGGCGGACCCGGGGTCGGACGCACGATGATTCATGCCGCTGCTGCCGGCGCCGGCCGCGCCGCCCCGCCCGGCCGCCGGCTGCTTGGGGTGAGGGGGGGGGGGGGGGCGAGGGGCGCGGGGCGACCCGTCGCTGCGGCTCCACGACCGCGCCGGCATCAGCGCCGCCGCGCGGCACCGGCCACGCCAGTCGATGGAAGCCCTGTCTCAGTTCAGCACATCCATCCCGCAGCCCGGCTCTGGCGCCAGCACCACTGCCGGAGGAGCTCGGGACAGACTGGAGATGGCCCTCGAGCCTGGTATCGACGTGGCTCCTGTCTCATCCGCACGGACCCGAAACTGCTGTAAACGATCCGCAGCGCGAAAAAAATAATTTCCGAACTCGTGTGCGCACTACTCTCGTTCTATGTGCTCACTGATGACAACGAGCGTCTGAAACGATAACATTGTTAAGTCTGTCCCCACCACCCTCAAATCGGGAAAGTTACGTCCCTCAAAGAAAGAAAAAGACGCGACAAACAACGACGACACTTGAAACGACGGTGAAAGACATCGAGAGCCCCTTCCAGCTATCTCAAAACCGGTCACGAACGCCGGCCCGTCTGGGGGGGCCGCCCCTGGGGACAGCCACGCACCACCGGCCCCTGTCCGCGCACAGCGCGCAGTCCCATACCCCACGCAAGGCAGACGGCGTACGACAAAGCGCGGAGGGTGCCGATCTCAACCGCGAGTCACCGTGCGGAACCGATGACGATGTCACAACCGAGAGCTACCGCAGGCGCAGTCTGTTGAACAACCCCACGCGACTTCCCACACGACTTTCTTTGCGTGCAAACGTGCAACTTCCTGACCGGGCCCATATACGACGCGGCGTAAGGAAGCCACAACCGGCCCCGGCCGCATTCACGGCCAACGGTGACGAGGCAGAAGGAAGGGACGACAACGGCGCTAGACGACGGCCTCCGGTTCAGTCCGAAAGCACTGCACGGGAGTCGAAAGGCCCGCTCCACTGGCGCGAGGTGGGGGAGGGGGAGGGGGAACGGAGCACCGAGCGGCAGACGGCAGAGCCCGCCCCACTAGCGGACAGGTGGGTGGGCCCAAAACGGAGACCGAGCGGCAGACGACGCGGCCTCCCCACTGGCTAGGGCCGCACCCACACTGGTCAGCAGGTGCGCACGTGCGGCAGGGTTCGCCGCCGATGGAGGTCATGCCCGACCGGCGAGGACAAACCACCGGCACGCCGTCATTCGTACGAGGCGCTGTGCGTGAAGTAGACGAACAGCTGGGCACGCAGACTCCGTTATCAACAACAGCTGGGCGTAAAGGCGGGGCTTTCGCGTCCTCCGTTTACAACCGTCGTATGAATAACAAAACGGAGTCGTGAATTCACAGAATGGAACGGTCATGAATAACGGAACGGAATCGCGAATACACAGAATGGAACGGTCATAAATACCAGAACGGAGTCGTGAATACAAAGAACGGAACCGTCAAGAATAACGGAACGGAGTCGTGAATACACCCATTGAAACGGTCATGAATAACGGAACGGAATCGTGAAAACAGAATGGAACGGTCACAAATAACGGAACGGAGTCGTAAATACACACAACGGAACAGTCATGGATAACGGAACGGAGTCGTGAATGCACAGAATGAAACGGTCATAAATAACGGAACGGAGTCGTGAATACACAGAATGGAACGGTCATGAAGAACGGA